TCAGCAGGAGGTTGGTCCAGATAATAAGGATGGAATATGATCTTGTGATTTCACCGCTATGGACTGTATCTTCCACTGGTTCCATTGCTTTGGGTATTTTTACTTCCCTTATCTGGCAAGAAAATGGACTGTAGGTGCTGGAAAATCCATGTTACATGTGCAGTCACGCTTGAACTACAGGAAGAGGTAGAGTCGTAGGATATAATTGTGTTCATTTTTAATGAGCGGCCAGCATTGAAATCCCTTGGGCAGCTTACGGAACATGTGCCTGTTAATGTGAAATGTCCCCACTGAAAGCCACCGCAGAGAGATGCCACCAAGGGTAAGCCCGGGCCAAGCTCCATGAGGTCCTTGTCCCAGGTGATCGATGTGCATCACCCTGCCTTCGGTCACGGCTTTTAACAAGCTGTCAGAACTTGCTAGCGCTGCTGTTAAGTAAATGCTGCAATTTCCTTTACTGTCTGTAGCTGATGTCTCATAAATATGAGGTAAGTTAAAAATGAAAAGATTTGTCTTGTTTCTGCTGAAGACAGGAGCGTTTGTAATCCTGATTTCTCACTTACCTTTCATGAAGAAGAGATTCCACGTGAATATCTACTTTTCCATCCATCTTTTACAATCTATTACCTACTGGGCTCTATGCTGAATTATTAAAAAGGGGCAAAGAGAAGACACCTTTAAATTAATTCTGACCTCTTGATTAAACAATATCATCACTTTCCTGTGAAAGATTATAAATGCCAACATCTAAATGTACCTGTTCAAGCTGAGATAATCATCAATATCTTGATGCCTGAGCACATTTACAAATCTCAGCTATGTTGCAAACAGGAAAAAAAAGTTTCTGCTAACGCTTCGACTTTTATAAAGTCTACATGTTTGGTTTTCTCTTCTCGTCGTGCCCAAAACTGCTGTGCAGGATGATTAAAGAACAGCTGAGGTGGAGAGAAATGTCAGTCTGGTTTGGAGGGTAGGTGCAGTGCTGGGTCCTACGTTGAGATGCAGAAGATGCGAAGGATGCACAAGGAGAGTGGGGGGAGATGACAAAAGGGCATCTCCTGAATCACACTCTTATGTAAACTACCCAAAAGTAGGGACATGGGGATTATGAGGTAGGCGTGAGTCAGCAATGGAAGGTGAAGATGATGCGATGGTTGTGAACGGGCGCTGGGAGCCAGCCTGGTCACAGGGGGTGTCTGGGGGGGCTGTGCTGCTGGCGTCCCTTCTCCTACAGAACTCAGGAATGAAGCACTCAAGAAGGGGAAGAACAGATTGAAATCAGTGAACAGGACAGATCAGAGAGCTGGTATTGTAGCTGCTTAAACTTTTTCCCAAAGAGAATGGCAGGTGACTTGAAAGCATCATTTAATTAATCAGTGGATGAGGCAAACTGGGATCTGGGCTTTTGTGGTGTTGAATGGCCCAAACAAGAGTTTTACTGACAAGCGCTGAAGCCAGCAGCATGTTTATTAAAGGGTAAATAACTAGACTTTATTTTGTTTCAAGGGCTATTTTAAATGTTTTATGTAGTGTGCATGTCATATATATGTATGTGTGTATATATATGTATGGGAGTAAAATCAGAACAGCTGGTGCTGTGGGATTTCTATATGCTGCTACCTGCGAAGTAAAAGAATGTTTTCATTTTTAAATACACTTTATTTTCATTAAATTTTCATTTTAAATACAGGGAAAGCCCCTGGTATTTGAGATGTCCATATAGCAAGAAAATATTTGTAGGTCACTTTGAAAATGTTATATGCTCGTGGTAATCAGGATGGGCTAATGGAGGCAATCTTAAGACTGAAGGCTACTAATAGGATTTACTGTCAATTCCTACATAGTTTTGGAAATGTTGTGATGAATGAATGTGGCATATCTGGTGCTCTCACCTCATCTTTTGTTTATGGGAAAGTCACCATGC